GACGAGCGGTAATTTTTTCTTGATTATTTTTTCAAACACCCTAGCAATGACTGACGTGATACTTATAGGCCTGTAGCTGCTTGGTACATCATAAGGAGCTTTTTTAGGAATGGGAGTAACAAAAGAATGCTTCCAAATGATAGGGACTTCACTTCTCATCAGAGAGAGATTCATGATGTACCTTAGGGGACTTAAAATTTGCTCTGAAACTCGTTTCAAAAAATACAAAGGTATACCATCCGGAGTGAGAGAATACGAGCTAGGCCATTTCTGGATGCATTTTAAGATATCGTCCTCAAGGATCCAAAAGCATTGGTCCATAGCAGGGAATAAAGGCACTGAGGAAACAAGAGATGGATCATGAACAGCATTTGAAACTGAAAACACAGACTCAAAATGATTTGCCAAAAACTCAGCTTTAGTTTGGTCCGAAAATGCAAGGTTTCCCTCACCATCCTTGAGAGTACAGATGTCATTACGATTTTTAAGCTTCACCGATAACATTTTTAAGTAAGAAAGCAGACCTACTATTTGAACTTATGACCTTTTTTTCAACACTCGAATTGAATTTGTTAAGCTTTTTTTAGGAAGCGATTTCTTAAGCGTAGGTAACTATCCATGTCCTCAGGTTCCTTAAATTCAACTGCATGCGTCCAGGCCTCTGAACATAGTTTTGAGAAATGCACAAGATATGATGGAAAAAACGGTCTCTTGCCTTGGATTTTAACAACAGGAACGTACATCTCAATTACATGCCTAAGGATAAAAATGAATAGTTCATACATTTCGTTTACGCTGCCACAGCAGCGAAATGATCCATACCAGTCAATGTTGGCGAGGTAGTCACAAATTTGAGCGTAGTCTGCCTTTGCAAATCTTTTACACAACGTGGGAGAACAACTGTACTTAGGAAAGTAAAAGTTGAACGCAACAGAAAAATGATCACTAGATCCCAGCGGAGGACCTATGATCACGTTTTGCACTAATTCAAACTTTTTAACAAAAAAAAACCAAGTCCAAGACATGATTTTCGCGGGTTGGATTGAGGACCAACTGTTGTAAACGATAACTATCGCCATACATCGCAGAATTGTTATCAGAGAAGAAACTACCCTAAAATCCCATAGATAAGAGCGGTCCATAGATATTTTTTCAAAAATAAAATAAAAATAAAAATATTTTTTCAAAATCATTTTTTACCGGTAAATTAAACCGCTCTTATCTATGGAATTTTACTGATCGAATGGGCTCTTCAAGTTCTATCCAGAGATCAAATTCCGGCATTTCTAGAGAGATTCCGGCAGAAATTCCGTTAAAATCGCTATTTTTCTATATGAATTGTTTATTAAGTGGGCGGGGTTTAGAGTTGAGGGACGGAGCTTCTTCTAAACTTCTTCTCCGATTTTTATTTATCCATCCATCAAGTTAGAGGGGTGACTGCATTCAATTTCAATTTCATTCCAATTCATTTTTCACCGGTAAATTAAACCGCTCTTATCTATGGGATTTTAGGGTAATATTACGTTTATCATTGCCAGTCCAGTCAACATCCGGCATATTGAAATCTCCCATTGCTAAGAAGGGATACTGACATGTGGACAGGTCAGTCAAGGCCTTGAAAAGCTGCAGCGTAAATTTGTGTGAACATCCGGGAGTTCTGTAGATAACAGCGATTCTACACAGTTCACAGCGCGAGGAAATATCGCAACACAAAAGCTCATAAGAATCGCTAATAGATTCCTTGAATATGACTTGATACGAAAATTTCCTCCTGACTAAAATTGCCACACCACCACCTGGTTTGCGAATCCGATCACACCGGATAAGACTGTACTCATGCCCCAAGATACCCAAGAGAGTGGAGTTCTCAAGAGCAGACTTGAGCCAAGTCTCTGTAAGAGCCACAATATCAAAACAGGATTCAGTTAGGTGAAAAATTAACGAATCCGCATTTTTCGGGAGGGATCTTATATTAGCCAGCAGATATTTACAACTATTGACCCAACACCGAGGAATTACTGAGTGTTTAAAGGAACAACTGGCGACATAATATCCATAGACTTGTTCGAAATATCAGAGCCAGGCATTGGAGAAGAAGGCAAGTTTATGGAATGAACCTTTGAATTGTTTTCAGGCTTCCCTCTGGATGCTAGCCTCGAAGAGCGGAGCTTGTCCCTCTCTGCTTTAGACAGCGAGGGACGGATGTAAATGCCCCTAAACTGGGAGACCCTCAGTTTAGGGGCACGGCGTAGTGCTTCCTCTTTGAACCTAGCAGTCGGGAGGACAACCTTTAAATTAAGGCTGGCGAGGCAAAGCTTATCCACCTGCTCAAAAAGTTCTTTATTTTCACTAGCCAAGCTGTCCAGTTTTTCCTTCGCCTCCAAAAGATAGTCCACAATCGTTTTCATATACGAAGGAATTGAATCGTCACTCATCAATTGATCCACTGCAGTCAAAAGTGCACGCTGGCGCTCAGTGGCCTGGGGAGAGCCCAAGTCCAGTAGTCCTCGTTTTCGTCCCTTAAACTTAGAGACAACAGAACGAATCGAACTCATAGGTAAGCAATGATGAGGTAGACCTAATGTGGTGGCAAAACACGAAAATGAACGCTTCCTGCCACTAGAAAGCTAACTTGCTCAACGAAACGACGTAGAAATGAAGTTGATCACAACTAAACGATCGAATGAGATCGATCACACGAACAAGAATATACCTTGAGAGGTGGCAATTGGAACAAGTAATAACCCCCTGCCACTAGGGATACAGCAGATGTCGTACCGCCTTAGAAGTGACCGAAAATGAGTGAGTCAGAATAACAAGCAGGAATGTCGCGGAGGTGAATGAATACTAGACAAACTCAGGCGCGAATATAAGGCGAATTGCTGCGCCGCCGCTCACCGCCACGACAGGAAGGCGAATGACAACTTCTCACATTTAGCACTTTGTTCACTAGCAAACATGTCTATGCTACATGTACCCCAAGCTTTCTGCAACTCTGTGAAGATTTCGTCCCTTATGCCCCAATCGTCTAAATCTAGCACTCGAGAAGCCTCGTCCGCTACCTTATTAAACTCTCTGGAAACCCAGAAAAACTCAGCTTCTAGCGCCAAATTCTCGCAAAGAGTCCAAATCTCTTGAGCAATGTTTTGAAGTTTGGCGTTTGTGCTACCTTTCTGCAAAATGGACACTGCCGCCTGATTGTCGCAGTGCCAGGCAACTTCTTCCCTTTCTAAATAATGCCTGAACTCTTTGATCCCTTGGAGAACTGCATATAACTCCCTTGCCGTGCTAGAGCCTCCCACTAAGCCGAAGGCAGGTTGGATGAAGAGGTGATCTTCGAATTATTGTCTAAATAAAGAACCGCGCCTGCCCCAGACTCAGAAGCATCCAAAAACGCCATCAAGGCACATGAAAGATGGACCGTGTCTTCAATAGGCCTACCTACAAAATTGAGACTCCAGGTTAACCAACCTCTCAATTCAGCCTTCTCTCCTTTCGATAGAGGCCATCTATAGGATAAAGCACTTCCTTTCTTTTCTTTCTCAGCGATCGCCGTCCCAATCGCTCTCCACGTCCGTCTCCGATCTAAAGGAATGATAAGATGCATAGAGGCAAAAGTACCTTGCCATTTCATTCTTTCTAATGGGGAAGGACCTCTCTTCAAAAGCAAACTTCTAGCTAGGCCACGAGCCTTCTCTTCTCTTGACTTGGTAATGTTCACAGAAAATTCTCTTAGATCGATAACGTGACCCAACCAAGTTAGCTTCTGGAGAGGGCTCCAGGAACATTTATCTTCGGCCATAAAGAAGCCGGCATGTCTCAAATCTTCTCTAACCGACTGTATCGATTCTTCGCAACCGCGTGCGGAACTTGACCATATCAGGCCATCATCTAGATAAACTGCAATATTAATCCCTTGTGACCTCCACCTACTCAACAGTGGTCTCATAAGCTTAGTAAAAACCATGGGAGCTGAGCAGAGACCGAATGGGAGAACTAAAAACTTGTAAAACTTGTGTCCCCATTTGAACCCCAAGAGATCGGTGTAGGCTGGGTGTATTTTGACATGGTGATAACCGGACTTAAGATCGAATGATGCCATATATCCCCCTTTGGTAGAGCCGGGAGAACTTTGGACAGATCTTCAAACCTGATTTTGGATTTTCCCACTATCTTATTAAGATTAGAGAGATCTAAAATAAGCCTGAGCTTTTTACCCTCCGCAACCGATAACGGATTAATCCTCAGCTTTGCTCTATTGCGAAATTCCACCTTCTCAACCTCCCACCCTTGTTTGTCTTCTATCATCAAGTGTTTGCAGCAACACGATTCAAGGAAACCGCAGTGTTGAGGTTTGAAGCAGAGCAGATGGGACTTCTGCACATCAGCCAAGTGATCATAGATGCTATCAATGCGGACAGAGCACCGTCTACTATAAGAATCTACGCTGCTGAAATGGAGAGATTGAGAACATGGAGGAGCGGCCCTTATATTCGCAAGATTCCTAATCCACAAGCTAGGAACCTTCATCTAGCTAAGTATTCCGAGCAAGATACAGATCAATGCCAACTGTGAATAGCAGCTCTTACCTATTTCTGCAGACCGCTAGTAGGAGTGGATAGATTCAGAACTCTCTGCTAGAAGCTGTCAAGCGATCTTCACCGTCCGCGCAACATCGCACCAAAATTCGGCCAGATCACATGAGAAGGCTGATAAATCTTGGTATCGCCGACAGCGATCCCAAAGTTACCCAGGCAGGTACGGTACCGCGGCAGGTAAGAGCTGCTATCACAGTTGCATTGATCTGTACCCTAATCCAGTTTAAAGCGCTGCTCAGAATCAGCGAAGCTCAAAAAATGCGCATTTCTGATATAAAATACATCGGCAGTGATGTATGTGAGGTTAGTATCCCCAAATCCAAAATGGATCAATGCTCGGCGGGTTCCGTAATTACATTGAACCCAAGATCATGCCTATTTCTACATCTTCTGTTCCTTGATTTCTTATTGTATTACCTATTTCACTATTACCTATTTCTAGTTAACGTTTTTCTACCGCAACATCAGTGTACATATTATCATTACATTATGCATTCAATTTCCAAGTTGTCATGTACACTATGTCTAACGCTGGCAGTGGAAGTGGCCATCTACGTGGAGGGCATCAGGACAAATTTCATTAGGGAATCACAGTTCTCATAAATCTAATAATCAACGATGTATTCGCATAATTACACATGTGATCACTTACTACTCTTAAGTGATTTTGCACTGCACGTATATCATGTAATGATGAACTAATTATGTTACCGCTCACTCACGACGCAGTAAACTTAACACAACTCCAACTCCTGTTGTCGATGTGAACAATAGTTAAATGGTATTCATATCAGAGTTTACGGAGGTGTAGATCATCGTCTGAGCGTATTTATTCAAGCAAGGAAAAACGGCCAACGAATCTCACTCATTGTGTGCAAAACATTGAGCAGTAACACTTAGTCTCTGATGCACTTTCAGCTATGGTTTCAGCTCTTCCAAGACTGAGGTAAAGGACCTGAGGACGAAGATCGTGGATTTTGACCTCTAGCTCTAGATGACGGAGAAATAAAGAAAGCCAACGAATTGAGTCCTCGACAAACCGCACAAAACTTGCATGGAGATTCAGTTGTGTCAACAGAAAAATTTAAAAGTTCCTACGTGCGACTGTTAAGGCCTTTCAGGATAGAAAATGGGTTCGGCCTATTCTGAGCGACGCGAGCAAGCAGTACTGGTTGCCAATACTGGAACTTCGCTCCATAACTTCAAGAGGAAAAAGGTTCTTGACTTCATGTTGACCGCATTTTACAAAGAGATGTTTCCCAATAACAACGCGAGAAGATGACCGTGGTTGGCGGCTGATGGGCAGCTGAGGGCCTCTCTGAAACCGGACATCCACTGAGAAAAAGTCGTGCTACGGTGTGGTGGAACAGTATAAGACTGGCCTACTATGGAGAGCTGATTGTGGGTCAGACAGTTACAGGGGGTGAATTCGGCCAATTTGAAACTATTGCACCTTAACGAAAGATCCACATGTCGTGAAAATCACGCAACAAGAAATCGAGGAGTTGGGCTGGGACGTTCTACCTCCAGCGCCATATAGCCCAGGTCTGGCGCCGTCCGACTATCACTGACCCAGGTCAGCGCAACACTCCTTAGCAGCAAACCAATTCGATAACCGCGACGACGTCAAAATTTGAGTGCCCAACTTCTTCGAGTCGAACCAGAAAGAGTTCTACGCGGTAGACGCTTTGCAGGGCTGCCTACCACGTAGAACTCTCGTGGGGCTTTGAAAGGTGATGAGCCTGTGACACAGGTGAAGGAGATGGTTCAGGTTTTCATTATTGTGTTTAACGAAAATTATCGGTAATCGAAAACGACATTTCAATCTGGCCAACCTAATAGCATGAAGTTAAAAATTTCCAACAAGCTGTCAAAAACATCAGTAACAAAACCAGTGATAATTAGCGACCTGAGGTTGAGTTCACTAGCCTATCTGCGATCTACAAGAAGAGACGTATGAGCTTGCAAGCCAAGCGGTTCGCAGTACTTTAAGAAATGGTGGAATGTAAAGGGGATTTCAGCACTAGTTTTAAAACGGTCTCAGGCTTTAACGAGGGCATAAGTTCAAAGTAAGACGATCAACCATTACCATCACACGAGAAGAGGATCTTGTAGATACTGAACACGCCATACCCAGACTTGAACAACAACACAGACCTGCATCAGTCGGCTATGATGCCCGCTCGCCACTAGGGGTCATAGGAGCTTACCGAAACTCCGAAACACGGGTATACCGACCACCCTCGTGGAATCGGCAAGCTAGGTAAGTGTTATGCGCAAAGCTGAGCCGACCTGAGCAGTATACCACACCCCTCCTCTCGTGCTTGATGGTCGGACAGCGTTCGTACCGATTATGTAGCGAAGGAACCATGAATCAGAAGCAGCAAAGTACAGAGAGGATAGTTCTATACTGGAGCAAGGGCTAGGAAAGAAACCGCTTGACAAGCAAGATATGATGCGGAACATCGTAAAGCTGTAACTATAATGAAGATGAGTGATATGTAGCAGAAATGTCTAGGGCTCATCCTCGGTGGCACTACCAAGTGCTTGGAGACAAACAGGTGGTACATAGCAAAAAACAGAAGTAGTGGCAACATCCATTTAATAGTATGGATGAAAGGTAGCTTGACGTGGGCGACGGAGGCGACAGGCAGCGATTGCAGACAATGTGTCGGAGAGATCCAATGACTTGCGAAAGAAGGCCAACAAAGGTCCACAGTTGTTTCGAATCCGATGCGCACAACCCGATTCAACAAGCACAACAATCGGTACGAGTCCATAACTCTTCTCTAACTTCTCCTAATATTTCT